TTGTTATACTCTTTATAGTATCTTCTGTAATGACCACCATGTCATCTTCATATGCCTTAACTTTAAATTCTTGCCCTTTTATTTTCATTCCTTTGATATGTCTGTTTTCTCTGACCTTATTATTTAACACTTTTAACATTCATATAAACAAAAAGAGTGACAATGAGCAACTTCATCGTGTTCCCTTTTGTATTTCTGTCCAATTTGATAGTTGGCCATATATCCTTAGTCTTGCTTTTTGTTTAGTATCTTGCACACACCGTATTTCTAAATTACTGACCCACCCCATGTTGAGACAAAAATTTCCATAAATTCAGAACTATTGTCCTGACTCTAGCCACTTCCAATAAAAAAATCAGTGACCATCAAGTCTTGAAATCAACACAGACTAAACACAGAAGTCTTGGATATTAGTAGTATTTGTGATGCTGAATTCTCTTAAACTTGTTGTTAACAATATTTGGCTAGGGAATCCATGTGGTTCTGTCTTGAACTGTTACTTTTATCAGAATAGATCAGGTTTCACTTGGTAAAGTGAAATTTCTTCATACTTGTTATGGAACTATTGTGCTGTAATCTAGGTTTTATGTTGGATGTAAACATATACTCTCAGCTGAGCAAAATAATCAGTATCTTAAAATTCAGTTTGATTGCATCTTCTGATATTTATAAATACCACTTTGGAGTCAGGTATATTCTTTAAATTGGCCTGAAGAACACTGAGTACTTTTAATAATCAATTATAAGTTTTTTCCAAATTTGAAAGACATCTTGTTTAATCCTTTACTCAGATCCTTGTCAATATTTTGTTTACACTATCTGATTTTTGTTTTTGCCCTATTTGCTTTACTCAGAGTGAGGAAGGTTTTTATTAATTGTACTGGTACCTTCATAATAGTGGTTACTATAGATCATTGTGTGAGGCAAACTGACTACTAACAAGACTGCTGTCCACATTGTTTTCCTGCAGTTAGCACATTGGATGAGCAAACTTGCCTTTTGAGTATACGCTCCCTTGTGTTTTCTGCAGTGCCTAGCATCCTGTAAATATAAAACAAACATTGCTTTGAATACTTAGAGATCAAATCCTCTCAGCTCATGAACACTGGATGTCTAGGGCAAGTTACTTTCTTCTGATTTTTTTTACCGTTTCTATCTCTTTCTAGTGGTGGTGTTAATGATAGAAAAATTAATTATAGTAGTATACGACATTTATCAGAGAAATTGTTTTGAAACAATTGCTATTGACAAAATCAGTACCTGTTATGGCAGAAAAGAAATGCCACAATTATGTGATGTGGTTTTTTTTTTTTTGTATTGTCCAGTTATTGTTTACTCTGTAAAACAAATTCTGGGATTTATCTGAGTTGACTCAGTTGCAATTTAAACCAACTTTTCTGTCTTTCATACCACACCAATTTGCCTGATCTCAGCTACTTTAAAGCAATGTAGGCTAAATACTGGAGAGGTAGAACTTTAATTTCCTACTTGATAAAAGCAAGTACTATCAGAATTTTTCTCTCTGGTATAGATTGCTTCATTTAATATTGTTCGCCTTATACAGGTTTTACTACAACTATTACAATAAACACGGCTACCCCATGCATTCTGTGTTTAATGTTCCCCAGTCGTTAGTTTGAGGAGACTGCAAAAACCTCAATCCTGCTTAGCTTCCAAGATCTTTAAGATATTTAGGCAATTATGTCCCCTTGTGCCGCATATATTTAAAAGCATCATTCCATGTTACTGTATGTCCCATTCAGGGCATTCTACAAAATGCATTGTAAGGACTCAGCTGAGGAGACATCTTTACAGGCAAATATTTTCCTGAGAAAAGACCCAATTCAGAGGTGCAGGGTTTGGCAGACTGCCTATTTCTTGTCAGTTATGAGAAAGCAGTTGTTGATCATTGTGGTTCAAATATTGTACCTTGAGAGAGAAGTTGAACCATCAGATGTGGATCAGGAAAATGCTGTAGGTCTGAAGTGGGAGAAGTTTTCCTGTGTGCTGGAAGTGTCCACGTAGGCCACCAGCACCCCAAAATTTTTGAACCACTCCTGGAGCTGGAATGTCCAAAACAACCTGTGATTTTTTTTTCGTGTCAGGCACAACTTGAGAGATTGCAGGTCGCTTCTGGTGTGAGAGAATTAGCAGTCTGTAAGGACGTTGCCCAAGGGATTCTTGTGGGAGGCTTCTCATGTCCCTGCATGGGGAGCTAGAGCTGACAGGCAGCTCATCTGCGCTCTCCCTATATTCGAACCTCCGACATGTTGGTTTTCAGTTCTGCCGGCACAAGGGTTTAACCCACTTCGTCACTGGAGGCTCCTATGATAAAGATGACTCTTGTAAAATACCATAATGGAATGCAGTGTTGACTATATGTTTTGTAGAACACAGTTGGAAGTGATAATCTTACATAGTAAATATGGCTAGTAGATACAGAAGTCTCTGATGGTATCAAAGTAGCCTTCAGAAAATCAATGATAAAAAGCAGAGGCAAGCTACTTGCAGTTCTTCTTATGTGTCTTTGATCAAATAAAAGCAAGGGGCTTGGAGTCATGCTGAAATTACAGCAGTATTGCAGATAGCTTACAAATGGAATGAGAAACTGACAATCCAGATGTTTCTGGCATGCAGCTCCTATCACTTTCCTGCATAACCAGCGGAGAAGGACTATGGGAATTGCAGTTCAGTTGCATCATCAGACCTGCCCAGTCATGATAAAGAAATAGAGGAACTACCAATAACACAAGCATACAGAATTGAGGGTCATAAAGCTTTAAAAATGTATGCTGGTTTTATAGGAATTTGGTATTCTAAATTCACAAATGTTCTCAGATTTCCTACTTTTTACAACTTGCTTTCATGTTTTTATTTTGTAATATGTGGCCCAGTAAGCTGTCTTTGGGAAGTAAACGGTAAACATACAGGACTTAAAAGTATTCAAAACACTTTAATTTGCTGATATGAAACAAAAATCCACATCCCTAAACCGATTTAAAAGAGCTACAATATTGAAAACAGTATTTCATCGCAAGTCTGTGCAATCTTTGTGTGTACTAAAGCTTCCTGCTGTATTTGAATATACAACTTACTCACTGGACTATGGTTACAGGTTCAAATGACTTGTCCAAGCAATGTGAGAAGAAAAAGTTGCTTGGACTATCTATGTAAAATAAATGGGTCTCCTCAACACAGTTATCTGCTTAGTGGATGGCGCTGTCACTTCTGCCCTCCATTAAGCTCGGCAGGGAAAGCATGGCATTGTCTTGTTGCAGACTTTTCTTAGGGGTTTTAGAATAAGGGCCGTAATTGTTAGGGTTGGTGTCCCAATATTAATATATCCTGTATGGGAAGCCTAGCAGGCAGTTTGAACTATGCAAAGCAGCCAATGTGAACTCTGTAGTTATTAATTGCCAGCCTAATCTGGACACAGAGCAAAGCTGGAGTAACTGGCCTATAGGTGAGTTCAGCCGCATTTACTAAATGGTATGAAATGTTCCTAAAACACTCATTTGGTCATAGTGGGTTTTTTTTAGTCAACCTTGTGTTCTGTTTGTTCTCTTCTACAGCCTTCTGACCCTTGGGCAGTTGCATCTTTGAGCTTAATTTTAGGCAGCCTGTGATAAACAGCAGTGCTTACAATTTTGCATGTTTAGGCAGGTGGGATTATTTTTCAAGACTGACTATAAGTCTTCTAATACAGATAGTTAAAAGTATTCTCAAATTATCAAACTACCTGTAAGAGGAAGGCCTCACAGTGGTTCTGCCACTTGCTTGGATGAGTGAGCTTTCAATTGCACTTCTGTGAATGTGTTGCAACCTTTAAAAACATTTGACTGCAAATTGTTAATTTGTGTGGCATAACATTGTTTAGTTGTTGTTACAGATGAAGTTTTATAGTTCCTATTTAGGACTGGTTTAGATGAAAGTAATTGCTGACTTCCTAAGATCTGACATACAAAACTACTTTAATTGTTTTAGAACTAGAATGGCCAACTGGTGATTCACAGGTCCCATCTGGTTTCATAATATCCATTGTACTCCGCATTTCTGGGATGGCCAAGAAGCTTTCAAGAATGCTTTATTGAATTTGGATAGCCTGTGTTTATATCATGCACAGTACAATATATCTGAGATTCCCTTTCAGTTTCTGATCTGGGTGGTCATCTTGGTCCTGAAAGAAAGATAGCTCAGTAGTCTGTAACTGAGGACATGGAGACTTGCAGGGCATCATATAGACAAATGGACAATATGTGAGGGAAAAGCTCATTCAAAGGCATCTCCTTCCACCTGGCTCCTTTCTGGCGTTTGTTTCAGCATTAAAAAGAAAAGAGATTTGTTTGAAACTATGCATAACTTTGACAGACACTTTTCTTCAAACCCTGAAGGATTTTTCTTAAATTTTCACCCCCATTCTAGCATCTGTGAAGTTTGAGTGTTTAGTGACACACATTCCAACCCTCAAGTACTTTTGAGCAGAAACCATATAGATCCCGACCTGAAAAAGATGTCAGTTAGTTTGGAATATGGTGTAAAGATGGTTATTAGTGTAGTACAATAAATAATGTCCAGGAACCAGTGTGCATATGGAAAATAGAAAAGGGTCTGGGTTATGCATGAGAATTTAATCAGACAGAATAACGTATCATAGAGTTGGAATATATACTGGAGGTGTTTAGTCCGATGCCCAATACCCCTGAACCCCAGTATTTTGTTTTGTTTTGTTTTTAATGGAAATTTCCATTTACCTAGTTACCCCCACTCTCCTTCCCATAGTTGAAATCTGCTGAAAATGGTATATGAATGCACTAGTGTAGCTGGCAGGGCATAAGCTAATGGTTAAACATTGGCTCCTATCTCCTGCCCAATTCCCCATCTTCGTTGTACTTACTATTAAGCACCCTTGGCAATGCCAGAAGCTAGAAACCTGTATTCTTACCTCACACACGACAATCAAGATGTTTGCAAGTTCTTATTTTCCTACTCTGTTTTCATAGGAAGCCTGCAAAATCCCGAAGTAGAAGTCCTGCTTATTCGAGGCACTCGTCATCTCATAACAAAAAACAAAGATCTGGGTCCCGCAGTCGCCATTCCAGTATCTCACCTGCTCGACTGCCTTTGAATTCCAGCCTCGGAGCTGAGTTGAGCAGAAAGAAAAAGGAGAGAGCAGCAGCAGCAGCAGCAGCAGCAGCAAAAGTTGATGGGAAGGAGAGTAAGGACTCGCCTAGTACGCTGTCTAAGAAAGAAAACAGTTTTTCTGAAATTAAAGAGCCAGTAGTGGAGGCAAAGAAGGTAAAAACCATTAAGCCTGAGAAGTGCCCTTCTGATGCTGAGATGGCAAATGTCCTACAGCACAATACAGAGACAAAAATAATGCCCGAGCCTGTAAAAATAAAAGTTGTAGAGAACTCGGAGAAGAAACTGTTGGCTGCAGTTAAAGACTCAAAATCAACGGGAACAAAAGATATGAAACTTATAGCAAAGGAGGAGATTGCGACTCCAAAGGAAACAGAGGCAGCTGAGCAAGAGCCCCCACCTCCTTTGCCTTCTGTTAAGCCACTACCTCCTTTGCCAAAATCATCACCCCCAACTCAGGCTGCTCCTCCTCCATTGCCCCCTTTACCTCCTTCAACAGTTCCTCCCCCTCCATTGCCTGTCCAATCAACCACAGTTCACACCCCTGCTTCAGTTCCATTGTCCCTGCCTTCGTCTACCCACTCCAGGACATCTCTGACTACTCAGGCTAACTCTCAACCCGCTGTGCAATCCTTCTCAAAGGCCCATGTCTCTGTGACAACTGCTGTTGCGCTTCTGAAAACATCAACATTGCCTCCACTCCCTTTTCCGCCTGTCCTTCCTGGAGAAGATGACTTGGATAGGTAAGAGCATGACAGAAAAATTATTTCCATTAAGGGTGGTGATATTGATAATTATTTATATTCTGTCTTTCTCCTAAAATTTGGACTCTGTGTGCCTTACAATTTAAAAGCACTTTATAGCGAAAAACATTCTAAATGGAAACATTAAAATGGGACTAAACTATTGACAATATAAACATAATTTTAAGATTACACTTAAAGAAAAAAATGCTATTAAAAGAAAAAAGCAATCAAAATAATTCAGTCTAAAACAATACAGCACAATTAGCCTATTCTTTTAATTTTTTCTATATTAAAAATGGCTAGAATAAAAATAGTGTGTTGAAAACCTGAAGTGGGTGCTTTTGTGAATTTGTCACTACAATATGACTTTGGACCCTTCTACACTGCCATATAATCCAGACCATCAAGGCAGATCATCCACATTACCTGCTTTGAACTGGATTATCTGAGTCTACATTGCTATATTATCCAGTTCAAGCAGATAATCTGGATTTTATACAGCTATGTAAAAGAGGCCATTGTGTTGCACTTGAAGCAGATCAAGCGTATAACTGGTGTCATCAAATAAGGAAGCAAAATTTTACAGTCATTCTATCATGCAAGGAGAAGGGAAGGGGAGTGTATGAACTCACACCTTGTGAGGTACTCCCAGTAGCTCAAACTGATAAGTCTTTGCATCACTTCCATTCTCAAGTTACTAACATGAATGTTTTCTTCTTCTTTTCTCCTCCCTATTTAACTTTAGGGCCCTTCCAGACAGGCCTTTAATCCCAGGATCTGATCCCAGGATTTTTGTTGATCTCAGATTAACTGGAAGAATGAACTCATATAATCCAGTTTAAAGCAGAAAACCTGGGATCATATCCTGGGATATTGGGTCTGTCTGGAAGGGCCCTTGGTCTTTGAAGGGCTTCTTTTTCCACTCATGACCCCTTTTTTTGCCTGATTTTTTTTACACGACCGTGGGTATATAAAGTAGATATCGAAACCAAACATTTATTGATAAAAACTAAGATTTGCAAAGTTTGCTGAGCAGTCTGATTTTCCTTTTTATGAAGTACAGCAGAAGCAAGTTCTGTAGAATCCACTGTAAACACTGCATGTTGTTGCTTACAGATTTGTATAAATGTCTAGGTGGCATTCAGAAACCTTTTACTGTTACCATTTTTTTGCAAGCCCAGCAATGAGCTAAGGGGTTTTGTGAACCCAGCACTGAGCAAATGGGGTTGGGACCCACAGTTTAAGAAACAGTGGACTAGAACACTAGTGGTTTGGCATGAGTATAATTGGACCTAGTATAAGCAATGAATTAGCCATGAACATAGAATCTGGATTTTTCTGCTCTGATAGGTAAGCATGTTGTTGTCATTCAGACCTGAGTTATGACCTGTAGACCATTATTTTTTCTATTTGTTCCAACAAAGCTATAGACCATAGATGTTGCTGAGACAGGGCGTGTAATAGTATATAATATGACCAGATATTGTCCATGCAGTCCTAATGTAATTCCAAGCAGGGGATATTATGTGACTATCCCTCACTTGGAATTATATGAATGGGAGTTTGTTGAGAGGATGGACAATTATTTGAAAAAAATCTTGACAGACAAATAGGGATGGATCTGAGAAAATGAGTAAGATAGTAGGCTGCTAAGAGGATTGGGGTTGAAGATATAAGGCATGGCTTAGCCCATGTCTAATTGTCTATCTCACCTTTAACACTGTATAGGGAAAACATTGCAAAGCCAGCTGTTTAAAACTTCAGTTTAAAGCAGATATGGGCAAACTTCGGTCCTCTGGGTGTTTTGGACTTCAGCTCCCACAATTCCAAATAGCTGACGAAACTGCTTGGGATTTCAAGTAAAAAACACCTGGAGGGCCGAAGTCTGTCAATGCCTAGTCTAAAGGAAGAGCCTTTTACAGAATCTATATTACAGTACATTACTCATTAAGGAGATATCTACTACACCACAGTGTCTGCAGAGAAGCAAGTCAAGGTGGATACTAAAGGGAAAGGTGGACAGATTACAGGGCCCAAGCCAGACACGGGATAAATTCTTATTGATGCAGTTTGTTGGACCTGAAGTGTAGATGGTATAATGTTCTCATCTACAGTTTTAATTTTCTGTATCAACGCTACTCACAGGACCAATTCACAAATCTGTCCATCACTTGATGACTGATAGCTGAATGCATAAACCAAGCTCCCTGGAAATAACTCAGAATATCAAGGCAGAAAATCCAACAATATCTGCTTTGAACTGGGATATCTGAGTCCATACTTCTATAGATTCCAGTGAGATTTTATTCAGCTGTGTGGAAGGGGCCTGAGATGATATGGAAGAACATGAGAGTCTTATATGTTATTCCAGTTTTTTCTTATACTTTTTATGATGACAGACAAGCCAATCTATTTATTTCTTGGTTTCACTGGCTTGGGGAATGGCACATCTGTAATATCAAGGTTAGTGAAACTTAAAAGAGAAATGTTAATTCATTGAGCACTCATTTACACATATGTAAGTAGTAGTTGGGCACTCATCCTATTTATACATCGGCATGAGCTTTTGCAAATAAAAAATCGAAACCTGTTCTCACCCCTTCATATTGGAGCAAATGGAACTCTAGTTCTTCCAATTCAGTAGGAGCAGAAGAATCTGGGACAGAAAGGACATTCCTTCATATAGTGTAAGGCGATGCACACATGCATGCAAATGTGTTGGGAACTGTTTTCTACAAGTAGCTTGAACTGCTTTGTAGATAATTTAAGGTATGTTTCCATATACTCAGTATAGATATTTTGTCCTTGATGTTTTGATGATCATATCACCCAATCAGTAAGGCCTTGGGAATGATTTGAGGGTACACCTAAACATCTGAAGAGTTTTTAATATAAATGTTATTATATTATCGATGTTTAATTTTGTATGCTTTATGTCTAAATGTTCTATGTTTATGTTTTAATTTGGTTAGATTAATTTATAGTTATATGTTATTGTCTTGTTATTATCTTTTGGTTTTCACATGTAAGTACGGCATTGAATGTTGCCTTTATAATGTTGGAAATTGCTTTGAGTTCCCTTTGGGGGAGAAAAGCGGTATATAAATGTAGTAAATAAATAAATAAATAATACTAGATTCGGGGTGGCTGCTCTAAGGAATAGTTAACTAGTAGAAAAAGAAATAACTACGCTCAAAGTTTCTTGTGACTTCTGAACTTTCATTTACCACTGTCTACTCATTTTGGACCTTTTTTCCAACGGCAGTGTGCACTACTTCCTTTGTTTGTTATTTTAAAGGCCACTATGTCAAGATACATAGATCAGTAGCAGTTAACTCATTCTTCTTGTGCATGCTAACCTCTTGGATGGGAAGAGTGGTAGTGGGCATTCTGTGTCAAAAGTGAAATTGTAGACATTACTGTTTTCTTCCTAACTAATAATTGCTATCAGTCTGTGTGAAAGCTTTGAAATGTAGAGATTGGCAATCTGTAAATAACTGCTGTTTTCTCTGGTGTTTTAGTCCAAAAGAAGTTGTTCATCTAAAACCAGTGAAAAAAGAGAAAGAACAGAGACCACGTCACTTGCTCACAGACCTTCCACTGCCCCCAGAACTTCCTGGTGGAGATCCTTCACCCCCAGAGTCTCCAGAACCAAAGGCAGCCACACCACCTCAGCAACCATTGAGAAAGAGACCAAAGTAAATATTGAGTGTGCCTTTTTACCTAGTAGTAATAGGATATATTATGGCTTTTTGGGCAAGGTTTTTGGCTATTAGGGGAGACACGAAAGATTGGATGGAGTCTGCATGTTAGCTATGCGCTCTGCTGTGATTGTAGCCTTTGAGCTATCTTAATTGTATCATTAAATGTGTACTAGTGCTTCAGTCCAAAACATGCACTGATCAGGACAATAGGAGTATTCATTCAGTCCAAAAGGATAATGTTACTAATTAAGAGATCTTAAGAGAGCTGGACTTTGCATGGGTGAGGAAATCATCTGGAGAAAAGCTAAACCTGAAGATCTGAACATACCTTCATTTTCTACATAGAGGGTACCCACAACTTTATTGAAGCAGAGTTTTAGAATGAATACATACAAGGATAGGAACAAGATGAACAAGAAAAGAGAAACTGCTTATTTGAGGACCCATTATATTGAAGATTGGCTGTGACACCAGTTTTGACATACTGGGAAGGTCAGTCAACTGATGATACCTGAGCTCAGAAAAACCGCAAAATCCCAGAAGCAAATTTATCTTTTCCCACAGTAGTTGCTTTTTGCTCATGCTTTTTTTAAAAAATCAAGGCTATGGAAGTTTTTTTACAGACACAAAATAATTAAAAAGCTATTATGCAGCAGTTCAAATTGAAACATTAGAATTCTATGTTCTATAGATGGACCTGTTAGGGCTTATTAATCATTCAAGTTTTGTCCAATCCATCCTTTGGCATTTTAACAGCTCTTGTTTCTTTTCTTCTTATTTCGATCTCTCTCAGAATCTGTTGTCCTCGTTATGGTGAGAGGAGACAGACAGAAAGCGACTGGGGCAAGCGTTGTGTGGACAAATTTGACATCATTGGTATTATCGGAGAGGGGACATATGGACAAGTGTACAAAGCCAAGGACAAAGACACAGGTGGGTATCTGTTCTAAGTTTTTTTCTCCTTATTTTGCATGCAACTATTTAAAAATAGTAGGTGGGCTAACACAAATTTCATTCATGTTGATCTCTCTTGTTTTATGGTAGGCATATCCTTTCAAACCTTGTTAACTTTCCATAGAATGCAAAATGTTCAAGATGCTATGCTTTTGAGAACAAATACTATGAGGTTTATGTATGACAACTTATCCAAAGGTAATATAAGAGGCCTCCTGGATCAGATAAAGGATCCATCTAGTCCATTGTTCTGTTCACAGTCATACCCTCCAGATGTTCCTTGAGAATTCAGAAGCAGGTCATGAACAGGCCGCTCCCTATTGGTTGTCCATAGAAAATGCTGTTCATAGCTCTGCTACATATGCTTACAAAGGTCTAATTTAGTTATACTAACAATAATAACTTTTTGATAAATCTGACCGTATTAAAGCCTCTCTAAGCCAGGGGCTATCACTACAATTACCTGCAAATTCAGTACATTGATAAATTGTCTAAAAACTAATTCTTCATCTGTCTTCAGTTTATTGCACTCAATTTATTTAATAGTCCTGAATTCTAGTGTTATAAGAGATTCACCTTCTCATGAAAGATCCAAGCATTTCTGGTAAAACCAATTGGGCCTATAAAAGGTTAGGAAGTTACTCTTGGCTGGGGTAAAGCTGTTTTACATGTCATCCTAGACCACACGTAGACACTCTTTAAAAGACAAGAGTTCCTTGATCAGTTGTAATTGATAACATATAACACGTTCCAAAAGCATGAAAGTTATATTCTTGACATTATTTTAAACTTGCAGTAGCTCTATTGTTAATTTCATTTTCCTATTTTTCCTCCTAATTCCCTCTCCTGATTTTTTTCCTGCAAATTTGCCCTTTTAAAAAAATGCCGCATTATAACATATGCCTGAGAAAATACTGAAGAAATTATATGTTTGTGTGAAGAGAAGTGGTATTTATCAGTTTGGTACCCAGCATTGTAGCTACTGCCTTCAAAAGCAATGATTGCCAGCATATAGTAGACATATAGTAAATTTACCATCTCAAAAGATACAGAATGCATAGTATTGGATAGTATGTCTCACTGAGGTTGCTATACACAAAGCAACATGAATTCAAGTTCTGTGAATGGTGTAAGCTTTTATGCTCTGACATAATGTGGTTCTAAAACAGAGGTGTCATTGTACTAACTAGATATTGTTTAACTAATTTGAAGAAAGGGCATGTTTAGCTGTGTTAAGCTTTTCAGGACTGTACCTTTTTATTGCATATAGTTCTCCAAATTTCTACTGATTACAATTTCCATTTGGCAGGTGAATTGGTGGCTTTGAAAAAAGTACGTCTGGACAATGAAAAGGAAGGCTTTCCCATCACAGCAATCCGTGAAATCAAGATCCTCCGGCAATTAATACATCGGAGTGTTGTTAACATGAAGGAAATAGTCACAGACAAGCAAGATGCACTTGATTTCAAGAAGGACAAAGGTAGCGATCCCCAAATAATAATAATAGTAATAATAATAGTAGTAGTAGTAGTAATAATAATAATAATAATAATAATAATAATAATAATAATAAAGTGTTCGACTTGTGAATTTATGATACAAAATTTATGATTTATTTATGATTTTTTTGTATTTATGATACAAAATCCGGCATATATGTCTCGTTTGCTGTGTCATACTCTGTTTTTGTGTCAGTAAAATAATAATAACAACAACTTTATTCTTGGATCCCGCTTCCATCTCCCGAAAGAGACTCGGGGTGGCTTACATATGGCAGAAAGTGCCTTAAACAGAGCATAAAATAAACACACAATAGAATACAATAAAGTAAAACATATAGCATATAATAACAACAGTTTAAAACTCAGACCAACACCCAATAACCTATGGAAACAGCTATCGTAAGACATGGCCAGACTGTAAATAAGACAAAGGAATGGGATAGTGCAAGTTGTTGCTAGCTAAGGAACAAGGGCATGAAATGAAAGTGTAGTACTTATTGCTGTAATGTAAAATGCAAGGCTTGACGCCTGCAGTTCAGATCAGGATGCCAACTTGATAGTATTAAACATTCTTTAGATAAAGTTTCAGGTAATGTAGTTTTTCATGGCTGTATTCTAGTTTTGTCAAGAATGGCAGAATAGTGAAGACTTACCACAAACGTGAATGCCTGAAATTTCTTATCTAATCTGAGGATCTTTTCTTTTGAAATAAATTTGAGAAAAAATCATGTTGCTTTAGTTCATCTTTCACCCTGATTATTATAACCAACACAAGAAGGAGAGAAATGTTGCTCTTATTAGAACATTCATGCTTCAGAACCAAAATACAATCCAGTTTTAGGGAAGACAGATCGGTAGGTATTTGGTCATATAAATGCGCAGTATTTATTTCCTATTATTTCAAAGTGGTTAATCATCCATCACAGCCCCTTCTCAATAATTTAATATAGTTGAATTAATAATTTGAAAAGGGGCAGTAAGTTCCAAGTCCTACTTTTTTTCCTCAGAGGAAAAGAACTGTGACACTGGCAGTCTCACTTACCATTTTCCTCATTTCACTCGATAAACACATTCTTGAATTTTCTTACTTAGACGTAGTTTATTTTGGAAATTCTACAAAAAAGCATTTGAATTTAAACATTTTTATGATACTGGTGAATTTCTATCAAATCTTGTACTTCTGCATTTTTGGTTTGTTAAGACTAGTGTCTTTTATCTTCTGCTAGGTGCCTTTTACCTTGTATTTGAGTATATGGACCATGACCTCATGGGATTGCTTGAATCTGGCTTGGTGCACTTCTCAGAGGACCACATTAAGTCTTTCATGAAGCAGTTGATGGAGGGGCTGGACTACTGTCATAAAAAGAACTTTCTCCATAGAGACATAAAGTGCTCCAATATATTATTGAACAACAGGTAAACTGTTTGACTTTCTCTTATGCATGGCCTGTTTACGATAGGATTTTGGATGGGGGTAGAGTTCTGGACATTGAGGCCCCTAACCTAATTTTTTCCTGTGTAGTACTACTTAAGGTGTGTGTAAAAGGAGGGGAACCAGATGTGGCAGTAGAGCCAAAGCTTACTTCTTTCTGTTCTGCAGTTTGATGTGATGCTAAATAACCAGGAATTCTGTTTTTATCTTTTGAAAATTTGGTGGCTTTGAGAGAAAATGCGGAAACATGTTTTCCACCACATTTCTTTGCAAGTTTCTTGTTTTACTCATTGACCAGTTACTCATTGTAATTTGAGGAGAGGAAGAAAGTAGGGAGAGTAAATAAGAAAGGACCAGTGAGGGAACAGGCAAAAAGCACAGTGGTTGCATCCATTCTGTCTCAGAACTTATTTATTTATTTATTTACTGTATTTGTATACCGCCCTTCTCAGCCCTTAGGTGACTCAACTTAAAGATTTGGATGGACTTTCCAATTGAAAATTGGAGATGTTGATTATGCAGTCACATTTACAATATGATTTTATGGTCACTGTATTTTGTTCTGTGGAGAGGCTGTTCTACATTATAAGCTGTGCCATTAAATATATCATATTTGTATTTGGAAGTGTGTTTTTAAGCCCTTGTGAAAATGTTAGTGACTATAATTTAATCATTTTAATAGTTCCTCTTCATGTGCTTGCATGTATTTCACGGTGAACCTTTGTCCATCACCCTTCCCTTTTTACAGTGGACAAATCAAGCTCGCAGATTTTGGACTAGCTCGGCTCTACAGTTCAGAAGAAAGGTAAGATGCTTGATAGGAAGATAGGTGTAGCTCTCACAGTTTCGACAGAAGAACAGCAGAATGGCTTCCTGTAGAAGTCTCATTTAAATCAATTGCAAAAAAGCAGTGATATTCTCTTGCACATTTCCTGTCTGTGTCAACGGACTCATGAGGGAAATAGTTCCCCCGGCGTTATGTTATTGTTTGGGTGCAGTTTAGGCTTGGACAAGTATCAGAATCCCATTTTGGTCTTTAACTTTTTGTGAGTCAGCCAGCAAGTTACTGTCAGCTTTAGGTTCTTACCTAAGAAGTGAGAATAATTGCTGCTTTTATTTAAAACAAAGAGGCAGCTGACAACCCGATTTTTAATCTAATCTTGGAAGCTGTCTTCTTGTTCCCCTGGTGTGGAACAGAGACTGATAGTGGTGAGGGAAAGAGACTCTGCACCTGATCAAAAGCTCTTTGATTTCTCCATCAAACATTCATAAACCGAGTCTTTGGCAGTACAAAAATGTTTTATGGAGCTGAGCCTGGATTAATTGTGGTTCATATGCTGACCTGCTTCCTGGTGTTTGAAAATGATTGAGATCATGATTGTAAGTAGCTTGGCACACGTGAAGTGTATGAATTATCAATAGTGGCAGATATTCAATGTAAAGCTAGGTTATATGTGAAATTGATTTCCAAAGACCATGTTTCATATGCCTTATGGACATTGTACTTCTCCTGATAATGTTAGCAGCAAAAATGAAAATCTGTGGTAGTTTTACTTGAAATTATTAAATGAGTTAGTTTTATTTCTAAGACTAGGGAACCAGCAAATCGGCATAGAAAGATTTGGGAGGTGAAGCTTAAAAGCTGCTTATTGCAATCTTAATATTCCTTATATTGTTTCTTTTCACCCTTCAAAGTGTCCCAGTCCTAATGATGGTCCTACAGCGGTAAAGTCCAGATGCTGCATTGAATTATTATTTTCTTACCACCCCTTAAGGAAGGGCATGGACCACATTCTGTCATTATAGGAAAATGGCCCCAATATCAAGGATAATAAACCTTTTTCCTTGTTTGTTATCATCCTTTTTCCTTGTTTATTATTATACACCATTCAATTTTAGACATTTTAACAGTACTTAAAATAATCTTTCTAAACGTTTGAAGCTAAAGCTCTACTTGACCATGCAATGTGGTCCATTGGTAAAGGGCTATAAGAGTTGAAGTCCAAAATATTTGGAAGGCCAAAGGATCTATAGTTTGTGGCATGGGTGAAGAAGTGTTGTCTACATCCGAGATGACAGCTTTATTTCTGTCTCAGCATTTAGTTGATTACATCTTTCTGAGTTGTGTACATATGATTCATTCCAGTAATGTCTGAACTGTGAAGTCCAATCTAACATATTTTTTCACTTTTGTAGCCGTCCATACACCAATAAAGTAATTACATTATGGTATCGACCACCTGAATTGCTGCTAGGCGAAGAGCGTTACACGCCAGCCATAGATGTCTGGAGCTGTGGGTGAGCCAGTGACTTCTTTTCTTTTTGCTTCTGTCACAAGCTTGTGCTTCACACAGTTCTAACTAAAATTGTAGTGAATCATCCCTTTTTTTGTTTTGAGTGGGGCTATACATTTGATGCAGAATAAGTAGTGCAGAATAAATATTTTGCATTGTGGCAAAGACCATAAACATATGTGAGTTTACATTTATATAAAGTGCCTGTAGATTTTAGTTTTTATTACTTTTTGTATCCTATTGTTCCTCTTAAAATTGTGATAGTCTGGTCCCATACTTGTTGCAGAATTATTTTGCTGACTTATTTCTCTGCCTTGGAGCACGAAGAATGGGAACAAGGGAGTTAATCAAAGTCGTTCTGATCTCCATCTTTCCTCCTAAACACATGTAGTTCAAGTTCAAGTTCACTTTATTACGGTCAATGACCAGCTCATGAGGACACATGTAGAAAATTTGGAGTAACTCACCTTCTAGAAACCAGCCAGTTTTCTTGATGACCAGATTATCTGATTTTGTGTATAGGGATCCTGTTCCTTAGATATGCTGAATGTCTCTCAGGTATAAATGTTCCAGAAGGAAGTTGGAGGATGCTATTTCTTTAGGATGGAATGATGCAATTTTGCATGCAGTTTTCTCATGGTCATCTCCTTGTGCCTTGTCTCCTAGAGGTTTCATGAGTCTCCTGAGAGCAGAGATTCTCCCTGTTTCTTTCCCACTTCTCCTCTCCTGCTTGTTTAAATATGTGTTTTTCTGTTTATTTAAATTCAATTTTTCCCATTTTCCTGCTAGCTGTATCCTTGGGGAACTATTTACAAAGAAGCCTATTTTTCAAGCAAATCTTGAGCTGTCACAGCTTGAATTAATCAGGTAAGGCACATGTTGCAGTTTGTATTTCCAGCCTGCCTCAGTAGTACTGTCAGTTGTTTTTTTTTCTGGAACTGGCAGAGATATGCCTAGATTTCCAAGTATCAAATATTTATATGAACAAATAGTGTGTAGTGACAGTTATTCATGTCAAGAACATATAGACAAAAATGTGCAAATCAGTTGTCAATAAGAGAAAAAGATTGCTGTAGAAGTGTGCCTTCAAGTAGTTTCCAACTTATGGTGATGGTACAGTTATTTATCACAGGGATTTTTTGGTAAGATTTCATCAGAGGATTTTCGCTTTGCCTTCCTCTGAGGCTTAAGAGTGTGTAACTTGCCCCAAATCACCCAGGGGTTTTTCATGTCCAAGTGGGGATTCAAATCCCAACTTCCAGAGTAGTAGTTTTTAGCTCCTATATGCCATCAAATATTTCTGGGGATGTGCAGGGATTTGTGTAACATTTGGAGGCATCTTAGTTCACTTTATTACGATTATTAGAGTTATTTGCCTATAACTCTAATAATCAGCAGTCCACACTTGTGATTAAAATGTTCTTGCTAGGAATTTCTAGGACCTCCAGTGTAACACTATCAAACAGCAGTCCTCATAGGAGTCTCTACAATCTATATAAATAAAAATGTAATGTTTGTTTGTGGGATTAGCATAACTCAAAAACCACTGGACGAATTGACACCAAATTTGGACACAATGCACCTATCGGGCCAGCGAGTAACCATCACTCATCAAAACATAGAAAAAACACAGCAGAAGAGACTTAAGAAGTCAAAAAGCAAACTATACATTACAATGCATGCACAAAACCACATATAGATATGCAAACACACCTATACACAAATATATATACACATATACACACACACAAAACACATATACACAGACTGAGCTACAGCAACGCGTGGCAGGGGGCGGCAAATAAACAGAAAATAGTTAATATGGCCTTACATTGAATTTAGGAGGAGCCAACTTCATACAGCCAATACTATTTATGGAAGTCTTTTGTACTATGTTTCTGTGGTTTTCCCCCCTATATATCTGTTTGTCCTTGCTTAGGAGACCTTGTTTCATTTATTCATATAGCTGATCGTCAAGGACTGGGTTTTGCGAATGTTCATGATAGATGCCATGCGATTTCGCCAATTGGGAGAACTGGGGGTGACTAAACACCAGCTAATATCCAGATTAAAGTGGATCATAGCTGCTGCTGCTACTGTTGCTGCTGCTGCTGCTCCTCCTCCTCCTTCCCCTCCTCCTGCCCACTCCTCCTCCCCCCCCCTCCTCCCCCTCCTCCTCCTCCTCCTCCTCCTCCTTCTTCTTCTTCTTCTTCTTCTTCTTCTCTCTTCTTCCTCCTTTCTTCTCCTCCTCCTCCCTCCTCCTCCTCCTCCTCCCTCCTCCTCCTCCCCTCCCCTCCCCTCCCCTCCTCCTCCTCCTCCTCCTCCTCCTCCTCCTCCTCCTCCTCCTCCTCCTCCTCTTCCTCTTCTTCTTCTTCTTCTTCTTCTTCTTCTTCTTCTTCTTCTTCTTCTTCTTCATGTCATTAAATTACATCAGCCCAAACTTGGGAAATGTGTTTTATACTTCATTTTTTTTTTGGTTTTTTCCATTTGTAAAACAAAGAAAAAAATCCTTGGAGATACATTGATAGTGGTGTAGCTGTAGTAAATTGTGCCATTTATATTATTTCTTTCTTGGTCTTGTAGTCGTCTTTGTGGGAGTCCTTGTCCAGCTGTGTGGCCAGATGTCATCAAACTACCATACTTCAACACCATGAAACCGAAGAAGCAATACCGAAGGCGGCTAAGGGAGGAGTTTGCTTTGTAAGTTTGTTTTGAACTTTTTGGTTGATTGAATGATATGGTGTTCAAATAATTCCACATATTGGTTACAGTACTACTAAGCATGGGAACTGAGTCCCGGTGGGACTGCTGAGCTGCCAAACTTGCTGACTGAAAGGTCAGCAGTTCTATTCCAGGGAGTGGGGTGAGCTCCCGCTGTTAGGCCCAGCTTCTGCCAACCTAGCAGTTCAAAAATATGCAGATGTGAGTAGATCAATAGGTACCGCAGGATGGTAACGGCGGTCTGTGCAGTCATACCAGCCACATGACCTTGGAGCCACTTTACCTTAAGCATGGGAAGAATTTTCTATGGACAATGCTGGCTCTTTGGCTTAGAAATGGAGATGAGCACCAACCCCCAGAGTTGGACACACTAGACTTAATGTCAGGGGAAAACCTTTACCTTTACCTTAAGCATGGGAAGAATTTTCTAGTCCCAGTTGGTTTAGTAATTCTTCATCCACAAGGGTTAGTTCTTTTTCAGTGATGACTCCAAGGCTATGAAATCCTCTTCTTAGTGCAGCTTGCTTGTCTGCTTTACTATCTGTTTCAGTGGACAGAAAAATATATCTAGGAAACCTTTTGTGGGGCGATTGTGTAAAGTTCCTGTTTGGATCTGATTGTTTTTATTGCTTTTAGGTTTGGCAACCCTGTTTTAGTCTTAACAGCTACATTGTTTTTTGTTAGCCTGCCACGGGCACCATGCCACTGATGTTGGGGTAGAATAAAAACTACCATATATACTCGAGTATAAGCCATGTTTTTCAGCCTTTTCATCATTTATTATTTTACTTATGATGATGATGATGATGATTGCATTTATTATTTTACTCTACCAGTAGCTGCTGCTTTTTCCACCCTCAGCTTATACACGAGTCAATATGTTTTCCCAGTTTTTGTGGTAAAATTAGGTGCCTCGGCTTATATTTGGGTCAGCTTATACTTATGTATATATGGTAAATAGGTTTAGGGTGAAAAAATTCAGTTATGAGCAAACAGTACCATGAATTTTCTGTTGTGGGTTGCAGTGTGGAATGGGTTAATGCAATAATTAGCTCAATAACTTCTCCGTATTGTGCTCCCAAAGGGCCACTCAGTTTGAAAATATTGGCTCCAGTAGAAAATGTTTTAGCCCATTTAGTGCTGTGGAAGAGAGGACAAGATAAATGATAAACCATTTTGCATGGAAGACTATGTCATGGAGGTTCTCCTCTCCCAGTTTGTTTTTTTTTTTGTTTTTCTGTGGTTGACTGTCTTAAAAAATTTTAATAGCTTTATAGTATGTTACATTTGCTTCACACTGGTTGTACTATTTACTATCTTTGGGACAATGTCTGCAGACAGAAGAGATGGTATTTTTTGACTCTGCTAATCAAGCTAATAATGGTGTTTTCCAAATCTGCCCCTTCAAGGGCCTTTCTTAGTGAGAAGTCCCTTGGCTGCATTTCCTGAGGGAAAGGCACTGAAAAGCTTACCACTGTGGGCTTGGAGATATACCTGAAGTCTCAGCAATAAAGACACCTTTGATTTGCTCCTAGCAGCAGGAAGTCATTCTGCACTTGCTGGGATGATCACCACTTAGCTCTTTAGCTTCAGGGTTGAAAAGAAGGTTTCTCGTCATGGTTGCTAGCATTGAAATTATTTCAGTGTATATGGCAGTTTACAAAAAACTAGAGGACAGGTCTTTTCCACAAGATGATAAAGACATAAAACCTAATATCCAGAGATGGTTCAGTGGACTAATTGGCTGGAGAGCAGGAAAGCCATGCTGGGGATTTGAGTTTAATTTATGCATGGGTCTTCTTTTTTTTTTTTTTTTAAGATTTTTATAAGGATCTAATATTTAGTACAATAAAGAGACAATGGAAAAAAGATAGCGTGTGGAATCAGGAGAAACTTGGAAGATGTATACATTGTTTTAGTTGTGGATGCCAGGTCATGTTGTAGAAAATTAGGAGGCATGCTAAGAGGCATACCTCTCTAGCCTCACAGTCTCACCGTAATTGTTTCTCCGGTCTGATCTTTTAACTAAGCCTTTAAAAAAAAAAAGAAATATGTATGTATGTGTGCATGCATATCTATACACATAATAAAAGTGAAAAATGTGTATGTGTGTATGTGGCGGAGACGTCCACTTACACAAACAGCCCCTGGCCTCTACAAACAGGCTATAGTTCCAAGTGCTGAGAAGACTCCAAAGGCACTCCCTCAACTCACATTGCAGGTTATAGTGAGTGCCATGAACATGTAGCCAAACACTACCAATGTCCTCCCCAAGCCCTATGACCCACCACCCAAGGGATGCCTTCATTTGGGGAGAATTACGTCCTAGATTTGACGTGTTTCCTCCACCACAGGTAGGCATCCCAGGGTTCCTTGTGTGGAATTTGCATGACCCCACCCACTGCCTGTATCTTAACCCCTTCCTACCCTTTCCTATGGTACACAGCAAACACCGACAAATTTATCAGCAACTGAACAGACTGGAGGTGTTTTGGGACCTGACTCAACAGGATGGAAGTTGTAGTTCACC